TAAGAAGTATAATAAAGTTTAAATAAAAGTATTTGATCAGTAAAAGAGTTTGTAAAACAGTAGGAAGTAAAACAACTTTGATAAATAGTTTGAATAGTAGTAAAATCATTGGTTTTGTAGTTATTAATCACATGTGATTTATGTAATAACTATAAGTATTCAACTTGTATCCCCCCCCCCCCCATAAAAGCATTTAAAACATTTAAAAGTATTTCAAAGGTTAATAAAAGGGGTATAAACTCACTTGTGGTGAGTGGATTGGATTGAAATGTCAGGTACGGTGCTAGGTGAAAAATGAAGACTTGCACACACGCACGAGCCTAGTTATCATATAATGAACATATATATAACTAATTAGCCAATTTATAACTAATGAATTAATTTAGGACATCCTAGAACATGAAAACACTTTGTTTCAAGTGTTAAAGATCACAAGGATTGCATCCAAGTGTGGGTAGGGCAAAACTAGTGTGTTTGGAGTCCAAGGGTAAACTCCTTGGGAGTTTACGGTCCAAATGACCTTTACCCTAGGAGTTTACGGTAGTAAATTCAAGGGTTTACAGTCTAAACTCCATTTCTTGCAACCATGACTTGTTTGGAGGTTTAACAGGTCCTTTGAAGCAATCTTGCTAAGTGGTTTAGCCTTTGGAATGGACTAGGGCCACAAAACACCCTCCTTGAGGTGTTTACGGCCTAAGGGTATTTTCCCTTGGGTTTACTACCGTAAACCCTTATGGGAAAGGATATTTCCTTTATTTCAATTCCTTATCACAACTAGGTAAATGTCTAAGTTAGCTTTTAGGGCTAAGAAAGGAATATGACTCATTTAAACACCATTTGGGTGTTTCCAGTTTTAGGATATCCTTAGACCGTAAGCACCTATAAATGGTGATGTTTGGTGTTTTTCAAAGCTTAAACATATCAATGGAAGGTTTAAATGTGTTAAGGTAAGTCTTAAACTTCAAACTAGGGCTAAACATGGGACTTAAGTCAATTTTGGGGGACTTTATGGTGTTTACGGCCCAAGTATCATCTTGGACCGTGAACACCTCAAACATGGTGTTCTTGACCGATTTTCTTGGTGATTAATTGATATACTAGCTTACAAGCACTCAAGGATGGAAGTAATTACTATAATGATGCTTGATTTGAGCTAAAAGGCCACGAACACTTAGTGTGTGTTCTTGGTGTTTTGCAAAATCTAAACAAAAACCGGAAATGAATGGATGAATAGATGCACGAACACTATATTAAGTGTTTTACTAACTTGAAATGGTTAGAACACTTACAAGGTTGAAGATTTGGAATTAAATCTTGGATGATACTTGAGAGAGTTTTTGGAGTTTACTCTTTTGACTATTGGGGAGTAAACACAAATGACTAGTTTTTTTTTTGGGGAGTAAACTCATACATATGTATGAGTTCACGGTTTTTGGGTGAATTCTAAACCCAAAACATAAAAGTTTGGTCGGGTGTTTCTAATACGTGAAGTGTTTGCGGTTTTCAAAAATCAAAACCCGAGATGACACTTTCTTTCACCCGTTCTTTTAAAAATAATATTAAAATAATCAAACGAACTTTATATCTCTTAAAAATAAGAAATAATGATATTAATTTATGATACGAAGTGGTTGACTTTTATGGGTTTGACCAAATGAAAATTTCGGGTTGTCACAATAGTACGTCCCCATACTACCTTCCACACCTACCCATATTTGTCTCAAGTATCATCACAACACCCTAACAATATACATATGCATGGTGATCGTTCAATCCTCTCTCCTAGAGGAAGGCTAACTATCTCATAACTGGCATATTGACCCCGCACAACTCAACCATCCATGAAACTTCCACCAACCATACAGTAATATTGTATGCTAGCCATACATAACGTTGGACCCTATAGAGTTTTGAATACCTGATCCTAACGTAAGCCCTTAATCAGACAAGAACAAGAAATAAGGCCAAACCAAAACATTCTCTGGCTATAACATCTTAATTGTGTACGGTCATGATGCATACACTAATCAACTACAGTAATGATGACAATTCAATATAAAGAAAACCCTACGCTAGCAGGCATCATATAATTAGACAACTCTATCATGCAATTCCTGAAGATCCCTAGCCTAGTACTAGCATGATGTTCTAACATATCTCAATATCAAATAACTGCATGGTATTTTAGGGTCCTCCAATTCACTCCAACTAAGGCTCTAATACCAACTTGTAACACCCATAAAAAATCAAGCCAATTTAAAACTTTTCCAACCAAGTAAAAACCATTAATTATTACAAAGTGTTTTCAAAATAGTTTCATGTCAGAGTATCCCAAAAATCAAAATCATAAAATGTGAGGAGTTGTACAATCACGCCTTCGCCTTCCCGTGATCATCCGAATTACCTGAAACCAAAATTGAAACTGTAAGCCTGAAGCTTAGTGAGTTCCCCCAAAATACCGATACATAACAAATAGTAAACATAATAACATCATGTAATGGGTCCACAACTCTACAGACTGGATTACCCCTAAGCCTACAGTATGAGTCTGGCTTGCCTTACATACGCACAACTCATATCTGGCTTGCTCCCTCAGTCCTAGAACTGTAACGAATGATTAGCCCTCAGTGCTAGTCTGGTATGCTCTCCTATTATTTATCTCACATCTGGAATGCTTAGGAGTCCTCAATATGAGTTTGGAATGCCCTCCTTGGCCCTCAGCTCATATCTGGCATACTCCAGGGTTGTCGGTCACCGCGAGAAGAAGTGCAACCTCAAACCTACCTACATAATGTAACATATAATGTACGTATAGATAATCACACAATATTACAGTTAGTCCTACAAATCTACCAAGCCAACATATCGAACTAACATGCATATCTAACTCATACTCAGCATATCAATAACTACTAAGATATCAATCCAATGGGCCAGCCTTGGTGCCTTAGACCCCTTATTATAGTGAGGATAACTCTCCTCACAAATGTCGAACTGTGGTGATAAGGTCAAACTCTCGAATCATAGCCACGAACTCCACCACCTTCAAATGAATGCCAAAATGAAGTAGATGCTGGATCTACAGGCTCCTTCTCGTTCCAAGCTTCTAAGTGTTCAAATCTCTGGGAGTCGGGGTGTTACACGATTTTTGAGTTGACCTTCCATTTCTTATTTTGGAGTCGATATCCCCTTTCTTATTTTTAAGTAGACCTTCTATTTCCTCTTATTCTCTCTCTCTCTCTCTCGCTCTCTCTCTCTCTCTCTCTCTCTCTCTCTCTCTTACTATGCGCTCACCGAACCCATATTATAAACTAGTTGTAAGATTCATGTATTACATGGGTTAATTTAAGAAAAAAAAGTTAAATATAAAGGTCAATATATTTAAGAACTTTGAATTTATAAGAAAATAAGAAAAATAATGATTTATTATAATGGAAATGATTTTTATCTTTTAAGTTAAAAAAATAATTTAAATAAAGAAAAAGAAACTATTGAGCTTTAATTTTCGGAAATTTGAAATTAAAAGGTAAGTTTATTAGTGAAAGTAATATCTATTTATTACTACATTTATTGCAATTATTATATTAAAATATTATGCAAAATTTAATAAAATAGAAAAACTTACAAAATAACATGTGGAAAAAAAGTTAATTCAAGAGTAACCACAAAATGACATGTGGCAAATTAAATGAGAGTGTGACAAGTGGCAAAAAAACCCTTCAATTATTAGAGATGATATATTTTCTCCATTTGATATTATATATGTTGTACTATCAACCACCCTTCAAAATTAAACTTGCAGGTTTTCAACGAGAAGAAAGGATCAAAAGGCAAAAAAGTAAAGAGGATTTTAGATAAATTGTAGGTTTCTGATGAGATGGTGCATTCTGATAAGAGAATTTAGGTGGTAGAGGAATTATATGTCTCATATAGGATGGAGGTGTGTTATGGGCAATATATTTATTTTGGTGGAGTCCTGCCAGAATGTGGGTGGTGTCAAGAGGTGGTGATATAACTTCGACAAGAGTGTGAACAACGATTGGAGAACCACAAATAGAAGGATGACCCGATTTCTATATTTTAAAATTATGAATAAATAAAAATAAAATGAAAAGAAAATGGTAGTATAGTCATTTTGTTTTTGATAGGGACGAAAAGCATAACGAAACTAAATCATATGGATGATCCAAGTAAAATAAATTAGTGATGAAACGTACAAATTATCCTAATCCACATCCACATGGATGATTCATGTAATATACTATTATTCTATTCATGATATTGCTATTACAATAAGAATTTCTAGCACATAAATTACTATAAGATGGTAGAATAAAATTATTTGCCATAAATGGGGTGTTTTAAGGAACCAATCTACATTTTGTTTTGGATTAATATAAACACAATAAGTAGTAGGATTATGGAACGTCCCAAATATTAAAAAGAGTAAATTACTGAAATTGTCCTTATGGTTTGGTTAAAATTGCACGTTTGGTCCATAACTTTTCTTTTGCACTCGGATCGTCCCTGTGGTTTGATTTTGTTGCATTTTTCGTCCCTGTGGTTTTATTTTGTTGCTTTTTTTGTCACTTACATACATAAAGTTAGGGACCAAACATGCAATTTTGATCAAACCATAGGGACGAAAAATGCAACAAAATCAAACCACAGGGACGATCCGAGTGCAAAATAAAAGTTAGGGACCAAATATGCAATTTTAACCAAACCACAGGGATAATTTTAGTAATTTACTCAATTAAAAAAAAAAATTTCAAATTTAAAATATAACAACCAATTTAGCATTTATTTCAAAAACCATTCAGTAACATCTGATTGATTAAAACCATAAATTATTAGTGTTAAATTTACAAAACCGTGGAAACGAACATCTTCGGTGCATGTGTACATTCCCGTCAGGTTCTTCTCATGAATGACTTGCAAAATGTTTAATCTCGGCTCTAGCACTGTGTAACCAAATCGACTAGCCACATACATATAACTTATGTAACGGGACCAATCCAAGAGTTCACGGGCCTAGCCCAACTCACATAACAAGCCCAGCCAACCGTACATAACAGGCCACGTCTAACATAACGGTCCACACCCAATGAGTAAACGGGCCCAACCCAACCTCCACTGCCATAATCCACCTCCTGGTCTTCCATACAAGACATAAAATTATATGTAGTTAGGGATCAGATAAACAGTTGAATACATAATCCACCCGAGAACGAACTAGCCTTCCTTAGTTGGTGGTAGAGGAGGGATGGATGCTATCAAAATTGTGGAGGTGATTAGGGAAGTTGTCATTTGGGATGTTTTCCGAGTAAATGGAGGTGGAGGTGGACATGTAGTGAGATTTAGAAAAGGATTTTGCATTATGTTGTAAAAAAATCTCTTGTTTTGGAAGGGAAAAGATGTAAGGAGAAGATACCTTCGGAATATTTTCAGTGGTAGCGGGTTCGGAAGTTTCAGTTGTATCATCCTCTTCATTTCGGAGTGTATTATCCTCCTGAACTTCTGTTACCGTTTTCTCTTCGGATTCTTCTTGAATGATCAGAGAAGGAGATCTTGGTATTTGAACTGGTTTCTTTGCCCTCTTTGGAAATTTGATGCTTTCTGAAGTAGCATCTTTTGCTTTCCTTTTTCTTCCCCTCTTCGGTTTGTCACTCTCATCTATGATCCTTTGTAATTCTGTTGGGATGGGATGAACACCAGAAAAGGGAATTTTCCGATAAGCCCGAATAATGGCGTTGTCTAGTGGAACTTTTTCCAACAATATGTCAGGAATAGGACCAATAAATTCAAAGTTTCATCTCGGTAGCACTAAAATGTATAGGGACATGTAACCCTATTACTGGTGGCCGACGATGAAGCTTGATATATCAAAGTATGTGTCCGAGTGTGTAACTTGTGCGAGGGTTAAGGCACAACATCAGAAACCATATGGGAGTTTAGAACCTTTCCCTGTACCTATGGGTAAATGGGAAGACATCGCAATGGATTTTGTCACTAAACTACCCAGGACAAAGATCGGTCACGACATGATTTGGGTGGTCATGGATCGTTTCACCAAGAGTGCACACTGTTGGGTTTTGAGCATTCTAACACTCTTATGGTGTACATGTAACCCTATATACCTTGGATCTACGTTTTCTCTAATATACATAGCATACAATCATAGATACTTGGGTAATAATATAGATAGAATACATACCTCTTGTAGTGTAGCTTCACTCCATGGGGCTTGAGTGCCTAGTGCCTCAAATGTGACACCTCAAATGGCTCACACAACATCAAATGCGCTTGGAATAACTTAGAGAGAAATCCACACTTCATGAAATCGGCTAGCCCTTCTTTTACAGATAATAATGGCCAATTTTGGTGAGTAATATGATGCTTATATAGCATGTTACAATTAGGGTTACACCATGTAAACCCTAATTGTCATGACCTTTCATTTCTATGACCCATGGGTTATGTAACTATAACATACATGTTTTGAAATCATGTTTTGTAATAAATAAAATTTTGAAATACTATGAGAAATTGAGTGTTGAGTTCTAACAGATAGTTTTACTAAAAATGAAGTAAAACTATGTTTAAAATCACTCATAAAATATTGGAAGTCTTATGAGATTCCAATTAAAAACAAAATAGTGAAATATAGCGAAAATATAAAATTTGAAATAAGTAAAATTTTATTATTGAAAATTGTTGATAATCTCGTTAGAAACATTTAGGCGAAAACCTCGTCGAAATCTGAATTATAACGAAAAAGTTATGACTAATCGAAGATTCGCGACAAAACCGACACGACGTCGAATGACGTAAAAAGTGAGTTTTTGATAAACTACTTTTTAGCCTTAGTGATCTAAATAAAAGTCGTAGTATTCGTTAAACCGAAAAGTTCGATAAAAAGAACGCCAAAATCTGACATTGTATGAGGAACTTATGATTTTTCTAAGTTTCGGATTAGCAGTAGACAGCTAAAAACTCGAATTTTAGATCGAGCGATATTCAGTCGATACAACGTGAACGAGAGTTGAAGATCTCGTCATTTGTAGTACAACGGTAAAAAGTCTGACGAAAACGGATGTGGGATGAAGAAGTTATGAATTTTTAACGGACTTTTCCTGTTCCGGTCTGTTAAAAATATAATAATAAAAATGAAGTCAAAATTAGCCGATGATGTCTAAATGAAAGTTGTAGAGTATATTCTCACTTACGCGTGCATATAGAGAACGTCAAAAACGGAGTTCATATATGAAAGATATGAATTTTTCAAGTTATTAAATAAAAATAAATGAAAAATCAAAGTATTATCCAGAGTCATACCCCCCGCATACGCGAGAGTTACTGTAACGCTCGTAGATCCGGGCTAGTCAATTTTAAGGCAATAAGTGTCGAAAATGACTTTTCGACAAAAGGTTATTTATAATAAATAATCTTAACCAAGTTGTAGAATATGTTACAAGGTTTCCGTACATATAAAGAATGCTGAAATCCGAGTTATAACGAAGAAGTTATGACCCGTTGAAGTTTCGCGACGGAACCGGCACGGCACCGGGAAGCGTAAATAGTGAATTTACGATAGAGCGATATTTAGCCTTAGCGCTCTAAACAAAAGTCGTAGAATATGTTAAACTAAGAACATCGATAAAAAGAACGCCCAAATCTGATTTTGTATGAAGAAGTTATGATTTTTCGAAGTTTCGAGTTAGCAGTGTACAGCCCGAAATTCGAATATCAGATCGAGCAGTTTTTAGCCAACATGACCTAAAAAAGAATCTAAGATCTCGTTAAGAGTAGCGTAACGAGAAACAGATGGGTGAAAACGGACATCGGATGAAGAAGTTATGGGAATTTCACGGACCAATCCTATCCCGGCCTGTTAATAATATAAAATTTAAAAATTGATTAAAAATTAGCCGACAGAGTCTAAACGAAAGTTGTAGAGTACATTCCCGCCTTCGCGTGGATATAAAGAACGTCGAAAACGGAGCTCGTATGCGAAAGTTATGATTTTTAGAAGTCGGAAAGTGAATTTGCGAAATCTGTTGCGAGGGTGATGACGTGGCTCAATCAGGGCCGTCGCTTGCTGATCACGCTTCGCTTCGGATTTACGACACGTCGTCCTTCGCATTACGCCCCGTGTACGAGGTTCGGTACGCCCCGCGTACCTCCGGTCTTCTCCGGGTCTTCTTCCGAGTGCGAGCCAGATGTGCAAAGCTGGCAACCATATCCGGAGCTACGCCCCGCGTAGAGCTCTGAATGCCCAGCGTAACGAGGCCCTCGCGACTATAAAAGGAGGCCGAGGCTGCCTCCATTTTCACACCAAAAATCACTTCTCTCTCTAATTTCTTTCTCTCTCTAGCTCCCCAAACCACCCCTAAACCCTAGGAAAACCCCTTAGCTCCTAAGGGAAGCCTCGAGGCTCCCGGAGTCCCGAGAAAAAGAGCCTTTCGGTTTCGAAACACTGCTCCAATTAAGTTCTGGTTTTCGATAAAATTCACTGTAAGTATGCTATGCTTACGCAGTTTTTAATATAGCTTTCAAATAATTATAGGAATGTTATTAGGTCCTTAAAATAATTATTTGAGCTATTATTATGAGTTATATTGAGTGTTATTAACGCTTATATAATAATAATAATAGTCAGACTAATTAATTTGTCGCGGTTATCGTTAGACTAAACCTTAGTGGTATTGGTACTAGGTTTTATCGAAGGACATTGTTTTGTGAGTATCGAAGCGTTGTTCGAGTACTAAGTCACCACCTTTCAGGTGAGTGCATAGTCCCTTTCATCTTACACATAGATATGAAGTATTTTAATATAAATTATGTGTTGTGTGTGCATATTGTATGAATACTTACTGTCTATGCTGGGTGAAAGATTTTTATACATGTTTTAAATGATTTAAATTGTATGTGTATTTTATATCTACAAAATGTGTTGGGTAAAACATGGGTAGATGAAATAGTTGTTTTGTGATAACACGATGGGAGACATCAATGTTGTCAGTGATCGAGTCATCTAGTGGAGTATAGATGATGACCATGGGCGATACTAGATGGTCCGGTGGAACGCTAGTAAGCTCGTAACCTGCAGGTGTTTTTGAACTAGGTGCTCATTAGGTATTTTGAATTGAGTGTGTTCACTATGTATCTTTGAACTGAGTGTGTTCACTAGGTATTTTGAACTAAGTGTGTTCACTAGTTACTTTTGAACTAAGTGTTTACCAGATGTTTTGGGACTACGTGTTCACCAGATATATTTTATAAGCCTTGGTAATGATGGACTTCGTGTCGATTCCTTAGGATGATCCTTAGGAATAAATAAACGAGGAATAGCTGATTCTTACGGTAGATCCTTAAGACTAAAGAAGATAATGGGGATGAGTAATTGGGTTGATTGTTTGATTGTTTAAACATAATAATTATATTATTGTGGGTTGAAAACCCTATGTACTCACCAGGTTTCCCAACCTTACCCACTCAGTTTATTTATATCACAGGTGTTGATATGAAGTCAATTTACACTGAGAGATTTAAAGAGATGTAGATCACTAGAGTAAATAAATGTAAGTTCTGTTTATGCTTATGTTCCTATATTAACGATGACATCCCAAACGTTTTGAAATGAATAAAATACGTTTCTTCGAAAATGTTTTAATAACGTATTTATCGTGTTTTTCTGGGAACAAATTCCGCAACATTTTTATGAAAAGAAGTACTCTGATTTTTATAAACCATAAACAAAATCGGTCTTTTCTGGCCGTGAAAATGGGGATGTCACAGTTGGTATCAGAGCATTAGTTTAAGCGAACTAGGAATATGGATTTATTTCTAGACTTAAACTTAGAATTCTAAGCAATGATTG